TCAGTATATTTATAAATATTTGAAAACCAAGAAAATAGATAATCTAAATAATTTGTTATAAGATGCATTTTTTTAGGACTTAAAATTAATTTTTTCTTCATATTCATACATTTCAATGTCAAAATGATCAAAGTGGAGGATTTTAATATTGCTTTCACGAGATTTTTGAGGTGTGGCTATTTCAATAATATAAGGTTGACATTTTATAAAAAAGATTTTCAGTTTGTATTATTATTCAAATTCGATTTGAATTTATTTTGGGGTTGGGTGAGCTAAACCAACAGGAATAGGCCACGTGGTCATTAAAACTTCTGGATGACAATTGACCAAAATGGCCATTAATGTTTGGAATGGCCAAAAAAATATCTCATATAGGATGTCAAAATATCGTAATTAATCCTACGGTCTCAGATGCTCAGAGCATGGATCAGTCTGGGAAGGAGTCCAACTAGCTAGTACTTAAACCAAGGAATGGATCCTCGAGGTCAGGCAATATAGGAAGGCCCTCAATTTTAATGGAGAGATAGCAAAGGATGAGATTTCTATGTGTCATCCGACTCATACTATACATATACGGGTTCCCTCTTAAACTATCTTAGAAATGGATTTTTAATATAAAATTTTAAGAATTCATGATATAGGTTAAGATGATCATGAACGTGAAAAAAAAAAAATTAAAATTTTTTATATTAAAAATGTGATTTTTTTTTTAAAATATCTCTATATATATACCTTGTGAGTTTTTAACAAGGTCCATCTTTTAGATGGACGGTGAGTCAGCCGGCTCTTGCACCCGTTGAACTCATGAAAGACTTTTCCTATAGCTGAACTCATGAAGGACTTTTCCTATAGCAAGGATGACGTACTCCAACTCCTTGTTTAATTATTTGGAAATTGGTCTACAGTGGTCCCTCAGCTGTACATAGAACACGTGGTCCCAAAGGCATGGAGTTTTGGATGGTGCTAAGCTCATGTGCATTGACTCTGACTTAAATGTATTGAGAGGTTAGAAGTTGGAATAAAAGTATGGAACGCTTTGAACAGGATTCTTAACTCCATGTTGGACCCGGAACAGCCATCGTCAAAGTTCAGCCCGAAATATTGTAATGTAGGTATGGTTTTTGATAAAGTGGAATGACGAATTAGGATTCATATAATTGATCCTGTTGAGAAAAAGCTTTGATGATGATGATGTTCGAGCTTAAAAATCTAGTTTCCAGACTAGCTTATGCCAAGGCTGAATTCATTATAATAAAGCATGTGACTCAACTTGAACCAAAAGAAATTAAATTGACCCGATATAAATATAAAAAAAATATTTAGGACATGTGTATAATAACACCATTTACTTTTGATATAAGGATGTCACAATCATTATTAACTATTGGATATAAAATCAGGTGATTGGTGACGTGCCATCAATTGCATATAAAGTTCAAATCGAGTATTGTGACACCTACAGGATTTCAAGCTAAGAGCAATTTTGACCTTCCTTTTACCAAAAGTGAATGGTTTTATAGTATATAATCTCAAATATTTAATATATACAATATATACTTAAAACACATTTTGGCTCGTCTAGGCCCAAAAAGATTAGAAGAGGTGTTATGTCATTAGAGATAAGGGATTAAATGGTTGAAGGATAGTGATGGAGGCTCTTCTATCTCATAGTCAATTGTTTAAGGTAGTGATTTAAAAAATGCCGGGTCGGCATGGAATTGCCCAGTTTGACTCGGGAATCAGTCACTCCATTCCAGTTCTATGTGTATATAGGAAAACAGCCGAGTCTAAAAACTAATTGATGGTTCTGCATAGTAAAACGGGGATTCTCTATAGTAAAATGGCGATCTGGACAGGTTTTTGGCACGTTCGTTGTTTCTTCACGTATTTTTTCGATGGTTTACTATTTTTTTTGCACAGTGAAATAGCATTCCAAACTGCCAATTCACTGATCCAGACCGGTTTTGGGGTGACCGATCAGGGTCACCCATCCATTTTTAAAATCATTGGTTAAGGCAAAAACAACTTAATGCAGAGAATCAATATCTCCGAAACGTTTTGATGACAAAGCAATCCGAAGTTACGATCTTCGCAGCAAAGGTAAGATCTCGATTGTGTATGTTGATATTCTGTTTAAATTAATATCTCAGCAAGATCATTCCAAGAATAAGAGCTAAATAAATAAAATGTAGAGTTATTCAGTTTAAATGGAGATTGAGCACCAAGGCCGATGGACACCAAATTGCTTTTCTCCGAGAATTTTAGGGCATGTTGAAAGATACATTGTACAAATGTTTTGAGACTTTCATCAAGGAAATAGAATAAACAGACCAATGAAAGTAACATTTATGGCCACAACATAACATTGACTTTCACACAAAGACCCCATTACCCTTTGGTCAATATTTCTATAGAACAAATTTTCGCATACTCCCTCGATCAAAAGACAAAAACTATACAAAGCAAATTGTGGAGTTGGTCCCTTAGGCAAAAGTTACAAACTATACTCTGTAGAAGAAATTGTACACTTGCTCCCTCGGGCAAAAGCTGATTTTTCTTGATCTTATATTCTAGGATCGACTTCAAAATCATCGTATGTATAAATTAGCAAAGAAAAAAAAGGGAGAGATCTGTGTTCATGAATGCCTAGATCCTATCCCAAGCATGATTTTTTAAAGCACTTCTAGGATTTGTTATTTTATTTCGTTTAATTTTTTATAGTTGGTTGCTTGGTTGAGTAGTTTACGTCCACGAATATTAGGGTCCTAAGAATACTCCCAGTTAGGGTTTTGCCTAATGAAGCAAGTGTAGAATCTGCTCGTGTAGAATTTGCTCGTGTAGGAGCTAGACAGATAATATTATGCTTTCAAACAATATAATTCAACAAAAACCTGCTCCATGCCCCTCACAATACATGGACACCACATGCTACTACTATCCACGACAAGCCGATGTTGCATGTCCCCACATGAGTGATGCATTAAATCTAGACAAAAATGTAAGCTGGACCATCGAGTCCGCAATGGATTGAGAAAACCTGTTCCAAGAAAAATTGAAGATTTTGAGGCTCCCCATATCCGAGATCTCATCAGGAATGGCGCCCGAAAATTTTTTACAACTTAGATCTAATGTCTTGGGCCTTTTCATGTTGCCAATTCAGGACAAACCGGGCCATTCAGCCCAATTGTTGCTCAAACAACGGCCGGAGGGAGAGCACAATGGAAGGAGGCAATGTCAGAAGTGAGGCTCTGAAATTTCTTAGGCTTTCGGGAATCTCTCCAGCATGTGAGATGTTTGAAAGGTCCAAGTAGAAAGGTCATGAAAGCCTCCTATCCAATGAGGAATGTTTTCAGATAGATGGTTTCGAGACCAGCAAAGCATCTGCAACTTCTCCAAGCTCTGCAACAACAGTGGCATCAATCCATAATGGCCACAGTTTGTGAGGGAGAGCCAATCAAATCCTTTAAATGCCAAAACATTGCCTGAAATATTGCTCTTCAATGTGGAAATTTTTTGTGAGGACCAGACCAGTGAGATTCCGGCACCCCTATAGAATCCTTAATGTACTCGAAATGTTTCTAAAGATGTTTTTGATAACAAGAGAAAAGAGTGAGAAATTGTAAGTTCTTGAGATCATTATGGATTTTGTCATAGAAGTTCTTCCTTGCCAGGTTTATGATTTTCCACTATGGAGGCTAAGAGAGCCGATGATGGGGACTGGCGAACTGATTATAACTACTATCTAAGGTTTTCAGAACAGGCATGCCTCCAATCAAATTTCAATCTCAACTTCCATTGAACTATTCCTCAAACTGAGCACCTGACACATTGAGCAGTAAGATAGGGAAGAGGGCACCGACCCCATGAACCAGTTGAAGAAGCAATGAGAAATTGCAGTTCCCTAAGATTACTGAACACATCTGGTATAGTGCCTGCTAAATTATTCCAAGAAATTCCTAAAGAAACCAAGATAGTGAGACTACCCAAGCTTTTGGAATCCCAAGAGAAAATATGCATTGGTGTAAAGCTTTTTCAATGACCTGCACTTTTGAATGCCTTCTGGAACCTCATGTGGAAACCCATAATCCGAAAGATCGATTGATTGAGAATTCCAGTATCGATCAACCCAGTGAAGGTACTTCCACTAGAATCGTAAGCAGCAAGATATTTTGGCCCCTACAATAAGGGCATAGAATCATAGAAGCCATTTTTTGTGATGTTAAATAACTATATAGAAAGAAGATTGGTGATGGTACATATCTATCCAGAGTTCGTTGTAGAGCAGGTCAAGGACCTGTAATTGTCGAAGGAATAAAATTTCCGATGGCAAAGAATCATCATCATCATCATCATCATCATAGCTTTTTCTCAATTCATTGAGGTTGGACTACACGAATCCTGATCCATCATTCTGCCCTATTAAAGATCATACCTTCAGTGAGGCTACGAGTCCCCATATCTTTTCTCCTGTAGTATTATGGGAGAGGTCAAGGTGAGTTAAGTCAAACCAGACAAGGACCTATAGATGATCCCCTCTCAGGCCCTTTTCCCTAAGAATCCAGCAAACCTTTGATACGATGCCATGGATTCTTCTTCTTCTTGGCATCTGATACCATGCCAATTGCAACAAGATCCATTAGCCCAACCGGTTATGCTTTCTTTGAAACCGGTCTTGACAATTACAGAAGATGCTAGATCACCTGGGCTACAGCTCTGGGACTGGGGTAGGGGACCTACATATGGAAACCAGAGAACCCATAGGGAAGGTAACACTCCATGGTGTTGAGTTCCATAGTTCCGCTCATCACCTTTAATTCCAATGGCATATTATGATGGGTCACCCCTTTGACAAAAAGTCTGGCTCTCTAGCACTGGCTCAGTTGCCATGGTTACCACCATGGAAGACCATCTATACTATCGAATGGCAACCAACCATTTGAACATGTTTTTATCTAGAAAATCCAAGACAAACGCACACACACACACAAACAGATGGTACAGAAAACAAAAGTCCCAAAATGTAACAGATAATGAGCAGTGCTACATTACTGAAGCTCTCCTATCCACACACACACACAGTACAAAAAAGGGGGAAAAAATAGCATGTGGTGCTGCTGCTCAAGCTCCATTACCTTTACACACATTCAACATCTATATTTACAATAAAGTACAAAACAGAAGAGAATAAAATACAAAGAGAGGAACGCAGAAGAGAATAAAATACAAAGAGAGAAACTCCTACCATCTCTCAACCCACAGTCACCTCTGTTGTACACCAGTAGCTGGCCCTATATTCGCCACAAATGCCACCAACCTCTTATAATCCCTCTTCCTGCCCATCCCATATGTGTCCAAGACTCGGCCCAAAAACAATCTTGTGTTTTGCAAAGCCGCCTCTTTAGCCGACATCCCCTCTGCTTGCCCCCCTAAACTACCTTGAGGCAACTGCCCACTCCGCCCCTTTAGCGAATAGGCCATTACCCTCTCTTCCTGCCCATTTTCACTAGTTTCATGAGTGTGCCCTGATAAGCTACTACAGCTTTGTAATAGAGCCTCCAGGACACTCAGAGCTTCCCAACAAAGCGTGCTCTCTACTAGTTGTGAAACCACCCCATAAACCTGATGCAACATAGAAAAAAAAGTGAGCATAATGGAAAAAACACATGATAGCGTGAAGGATGTGTTTTACAATCAGGGATGTGACAGTGTTACAAAGGAAATAAAGGTGCATTTTAGTAACTCACCAAATTTCATTAACCTATTTAAACAGACATACAACAGACATGTTTTTCATTAACAGATGATGTAATGCGGTTATAATGGAGTCTTTGCTTTAAATTTTTGAAATCCATTCTAACACCTGTGGTGCCATTATGAAAAGGCTGCTATATAATAAGTTGCCTGTTATGAACACATAAATGGACATTCTTTATGGCCTGCTTTTTTTTTTTGCATTTTAACTTGGGATTGGTGGGCCTGTTTTTGTTATAAGGGACTTATAAAAGATATTTCCACGAGCTTTTTGAACCATTACCTGTGGGCTCTGGCCAGCATCCATGGTGGCATGCTGTAAAAGTGCCTTCAGCATTAGCAAAATCACCCTCTGATACTCTGCTGGCCCCTTCTCCAACAACCTCAGCAAGTGACCAAATGCTAGTGCTGAGTGCTTTGGAAACCACTCTGCACATACCAATGGCGAAACTTTCGCAAGCAACTCCTCAACCCCTGCAAGCTCGCCATGTGCATAAGACGAGAAAACAGACGCAAGCCCAACAAGCCCCTTGGCCCTGCACCATCGAGAGATATTGGCAGCAACAGAGCGAGCTTTCTCAAGATGTTGGGCCGAGCTCAATTGCAAGCATAACCATGGCAAAAGGCCCGTGATATGCATCAAAAGCCGGGTCTCTGAGTCCCCAAAGATCGAGTCACAAGAATGGAGGGTGATTCTTGAGAGAACCTCAATGGCTGGGCCCTGACTCACAGTCGACATCAAACCCTTGAGAACTAGGGGTTGCACCCCCTCAAAGGCCGGAAGGCCCGAAACCCTCCCTTGCTCCTCTTTCTGAGCCATCGTCGAGTCATAGCCCCTAGAGTCTAGCCGGCTAAGGTCGGAGGAAGAGGAGTCAAGCTCATCTCTTGGCATGCTCGAGAGCAAAACATTCTCGGTGGTTCGGTCCCTAAATGAGAGGCGGTCGATTACACGAGCAAAGAGCCCGAGTGCCTGCGCATAAATATGCACAAAGTCGGTGTGCATAAGGGCGACGCATCCCCAAAAGAGCTGAGGGTACAAGATCACCTTCTCAGGCTCCATGCTCTCGACCATCACCTGCAAAGTCATGAGAATCTCCATCGCAAACCCAAGCACAGGGGGAACAGGGTTTCCAAGGCATCGGTGAAGGCATCGCAATAATGAGACACATGTGTCGCTGGAGACAGCAGGGCGAAGGGCACGGTAGATTTGGTGAGAGCGGCATGCGAGGTGCCGAGATGTGCACTCCATGGCCCACTTCAGGGCCTCGACCCCCCACAGCTCACGAAGGTCACCTTGGAAAAAAATGGCATCCACCATTCCAAGAACCAAAGCCGATAACAATGCGGCACTCGGGAGCTCGGGCCTAGCCAAAGTCGCATCCTCATTCTCCCACATTGTTCCTCCTCGCTTTGATTGCACATACTTGATTAAGCTGGCTACCTGCCTCTTGTGCTCACCATCTCCATGGTCCACATCATAGAGCTCCAAATGACGACCAGCCAATGAGTATAATAGGTTCACAAGCAGGTGTTGGCAATGCTTTAATACAATATCCTCTGAGCTATCCATCGAGACAAGGGCCACATGGAAGAGCAAGGGCAAATGGCCCCGAAAGTCCTCATCATTCTCGTAGGCAATCTCAGCCAACAATATCAATGCAATGTCAGCACGCGAGAGCCAGTGTTGGTGGCCTTGAAGAGCAGACTGAAGTTCACCTGCGCTAACTACAGGTGCAGCTGCTGGTTCATCTATCGAGTTGGGTGTCTCGATAAAGTAGTCACCACTATCTCTTGATACATGGTGGCTTCTTAGACTACCAGTTGAGCTCCGAACCCCCATCAATGGCCCAGACATGTTCATCATAGGCCCAGCCGTGACGGCGGAGGCAAGCAATTGCCCTGACCTACCTGTCACAGCCACCACCTCAGCCATGCTATTGAGCGGGCCCGAAATACTCCTCCCAGTTACAGTGCGCCAGCTCAGACTACCACTAGCATTCCTTAGTGGGCCCACCTCTAAGGAGCTACGAACCAATAGGGGCGACATATGAGGTTGGGGATCGGCCAGCTGGGCAACTTGTGTTGGGCCTTGAGAGAACTCGAGCACCACACTCGAGCCCCCATCGAGCCGGCTTGTTGGCCTAACAGGCTCAACACTTTCCTCAAGCATGCGTTGTGCGAGCTCGTATACGAGGTGATCAATCGTCAGTTGAGGGCACACCCTCGCAAGATAGAGGCTCACACGTTTGGCCACTGAGAAATAAGTTGCAAAGGCACCCCCGATCTCGGCTGATGGATTTGAGTCACACTCTTCAATCCCCCTGGCAATAAGGAAATCAAGAACAGGTATGATGTTCTTAGGTTTGCTAGCAATTGTGCACCAAAGCTTCTCAATCTCATCGGGAAACTGGTCACCATGCCGCCATGTCACATAATACAAGCTCTTTAAGAGCCTCTCACTCCACCCACTCTCTAGGAGTGCAAGGAAGTTCAAATTCTCTATCCACGGGGCCATGCAAGTGAGTACTTGGTGGTGGACTATGTTATCGACTGCATCTAATTGACGTTGCATTATTTCTTCGCAAAGCTGCTCGCTAAGTTCCGGGTGGTCTTTGGCGAGCTTGGCCGAGAGCTTGTATTGAAACTGTTGGTACGAGTCGGGAAGGTTGCCCACGACAGCAGCACGGTAGCGGCCAGCAGAGCCCTCGCCATCCTCTGCCCACTCGCGAACGGAAAGGGTCTCAAGCATTTGGAGGGCATCATCCCTTATGTGGAGGGAGGGGTCAACCACCTTGTACAGGATGAGGCTGAGGAGGCGTTGGATGGAGCAGCCTGGGATCTCTTGCCTCATGTACACTTCGGCAAGCACACTGAAGTAACCCTCTGCTATTGAAGCATCAGAATGATAGCACTGCAAAAATGAGAAAGAACCAAAACCTATCACTTTTTAATATAGCCAAGACAACCATAACGTTCTCAACCTGCCCAATTTAAATTGGCACAAAGAGAACAAAATAGAACCTAGTTTCATGATAAGGAAAGGAATCCAAAACCATAGCTAAATTGCCTGAATTCTTGAAATTTCGGCCGAATTTTAGAAAGGCTCGCTTTATCTTGAAGAAAAAAACCTACCATGCCTTTGTCTTAAAGTATTTATTCTGAATGGAATTTAGTAAAAGGAAGTGCAACTAGATAAGTACACGATAGTTCCCTAGGTTACCTTTTTTTTCTTTTTCTTTTTTTAAATCTAGGCCAAAATGTATGTTCTTGATGACTGGAATTCAAGCAGTCAGCATGCATCCAACATATGCTTGGCCTCTTTTAAAAGTTTGAAACCAAGAGAAATAGGATCAAGAAATAGAATGAGACTTTGCCTGGTCAATGCATGCAGGGAAGAGGTCCAAGTTGGTCTGGAGAAGGTTCTTAAGAGCTGTCTTCGCCAAGAGAACTCTCAGTTGCCCTCCTCTCTGCCGGTCCTTGGCCCCCAACAAACGCCCTCCCTCCCCGCCAAACTTTGAATAAGATGGTGTCCTTGGATCTGCCGGCGAGTACCCAAATGGTGCCCTAGGAGCAGGTTCAGTAAAAAGCCCATTAATCCACAAAATAACCCTACCACTGATCTTTCGCGCATTATCGTCAAAACATGGCCCATAAAGCAAGGCGGCCATGGCATTCATAGCCACCCACTGTATGGCCTCCAACTGCTCAGCCACCTCCTTGTCGAATGAAATCTTGTCTATGGAGTCCTTAGACCTAAGGTTCTGGGATGCCTTGTAGCGCTCAACCTATCCAAGAGTAAACATGAGAAGAAAATTTCTCATTATCAAAGAATTGTGTGCATGTGGAGAGAGAGAGAGAGAGAGAGAGAGAGAGAGAGAAATTTTATTAAATGCTTGAAAATCTCTACTCAGGCAAATGACTATAACTCCCCTTTTCAAATGTTTATTTCTACTAATATACCAGGATTGGTTGGTGATTATTTCATGGAGTTTCTTCATTTCTCTTTACTGCAACTAATATAAGAAACAAAAAGATGAGGTTAAAAAACACCTCTCGTCGATAGTCACTGGCTGAATCCTGGCCCCAAGCACCACCTGTATCATCAGACCAGGAATAGAGAATGTCAAAGAGCCGCTTTCTTGTCCTTGGATCAAACCTCTCGGACTTAGACTCCACAAAATCGGGGGCAAGGGATCTAAGTACACATGCTAAGGCAAAGCGAAAGGGTTGCATATCTTGGAAGTTCTCAGCTGGAGAAGTCATGATATGCCTGCTTGTGTCCTCAATGAATCTCAGGAAATGGAGGCGGAAAACAGGTTTGCGGGTGAGCATCCCTGGCCATACGTTCTCCGCAACCATACGATATACATTTGCACTGTGAAGTTTCAATTCTTCTCGGCGAGCCTTTTGACTCTGCAAATGGTAAAATTCGAAATAAGAATGCCTTGATAATATAAAGAAGTCAGACATGTAACTGAATTGACCCTCCCACACCTGCATATTGATTTGCTGTTTATTTTTTGCTCCGAGGTGTATGTAAGGCGATTTAGATTCACAGAGAGCAACCACAGTGGAGCCAAATTTTAAGGTTATAAGAATGAAAGACAGCATTCAGAACAGAAAAAAAGAAAATCACATGGTTAGGCATATGTTATGAACTCTTGGGCTTCAAAGTCACACAAAATAAAAGCAATTCAGAACATGTGGTGGGAAATGTAGGAAAGTGCAACATTAGATAGAGCACAATAGCACAACAGAAAATAAGACTTTGAGCTAAACTTCTATAATCAGGCACTAATACTCAAATATGACAACGAAAAGATTTCAGCACTCAAGTGGGTCATTAACATATCCTTTCGCCACTTATCAAGACTGAATATCTCTCAAACATTTATGCAAAGCATCCTCTCTTCTCAATAGTTAGGATATCATCATCATCATCATCGGAGCCTTTTCCCAACAGTATTTAGGACATAAGAACCATAAAACTATAATTGAACATTCTTTTATTTTTATTTTTATTTTTATTTAATGAATGGTAAATATGATCCTATGTTCCAACCAAAGAGTACCTATTTTTATTTTATGAATGTTAACTGTGATCCTATGTTCCAACCAAAAGAGTATCTAACATTTCTAGAGAAAATTGGTATTTTTGAACATCCTGAAAATTTGCACAAAATTAGATGTAAATTTCAAATAAAAAAGGATATATTTTAAGTTCAGAGAGTTAACCTTCCATTTTGCTTTGCTTTCTGTCTCTGATGCAACGTCTTCCATAAAAGAAGAAAGCTCTCCAAACATGAACTCACAGACCTCCAAATGCGAATGCCCAAGTGCCAAAGTAGCAGCATGCTGCATCAAGAAAGCAAATAAAGCTGGTTTCTACAATAATTCATCATTATACGCAAGTAAACAAGATAAAAGCAAACCAACAGTTCATGTAGGTACATAACGCCAGTTTCTCTAATCATTCACACTTGCAAGAATGCAAGGTATTACATATTTGTATTGTGCTAACCGTATGCATCTCAGATCCAGATTTCAGTGAGGGAAAAATCATATGGTAGAGCTCTTTAGCAGTTGAAAAGCCTCCATCTTCTGTAGTATCAGGTGGGCAAGAGCAAGCGAACATTGAATACAGAAGCCATTGGTCCAGTTTATTTTCAGCATCTTGGGACTGGTGGGCCTTTCCACCGAACTCTATAGGTGTTATAAGTGCGAGCCGTTGAGTGACCTCCATCCTGTTGAACATGGAAATCATCCATGAGTGCTATCTCACTTTCTTACAGGTGCAAAACACCTTCTGATTTAGTAGTCTATGGCAGCTGGGTTCAGGCAATCTTTTTACCTTGCTTCCTGGATGGATTTTGGGCAAAGTTCACCAGCATATTTAACAAGCTCGCTAAGACAGTGAGCCCATCTACTCTTGTCAGGACTTTCAAGAATTGACTGAAGTGTAACATCAGAAGGAACTACATCTGATTCTCGTCTCAAATCATATGGCCGTCCTGAATCCCAATAGCAACGCTGAACAATGTCATCCTGGACAATTAAGCAAGAAAATATCACTATAGCATTCATTGATATCCCATATTTATTCAGCCAAGCTATTGAAGACTCCAGTAAGAAAATGTCATCATCCATACATATATAATATGAGAGGGAAAGAATGCTTTAATCCAAGGGGCTCTGGAAAAATCATAGCCCATTGAGTCATCACCATCTACTGAAATAGACATTCCAAGGGATGGCAAGGGAAAAAGCATGGGACCTATCAGAACAGGTAAATGACCTCAACTGTGAGTTCCCCTTCCTCACCATCACTGTCTATTTCAATAGAGAGTGTGATAACCTTATCGACAATGTTTTTCCTAGTCCATTGGCTTATAATTTCACATGCAATGAACTTACCCCATTCTCTTCAAAAACATCTATTATGAATATAGGCTCTGGTTCGTTCCTCCAGCTAACATCAGATCGATCATTTACTGAAAGGTCTCTTAAATCATTCTTCAAGGCCCTAACACAGCGCAATAACTCCAGCGCCATATGCCTTATCTGCACATCTACGGAGCTGAGGAAGATAAGGCCAATAGCGTCCAGGTCAGAAGTTCGAAACTCATTTGTTTTATCTGACTGATGAGAAGGACCCGATCTATGAAGTGGGTCACTTTTGGTACCCTGCCATTTAACATTTTGAGCATTGCTGGATAATCTCTCCTCCAGTGAACAAGCCCTCCATAGACGCATGAGTTCTACAAGGCGCCCTAGTGATGTTTGGATGAGTAATGGGAACTCATCAGGTAGTCGAAGAATAAAGTTAGCCATCCCTTTCATCACAGCAAAACGACGGTGCGGAAGATACCTAACAGTTCGATATAGCACTTGCACTGCTTCTTCACGCACACCAGGTTCAATGCTTATGCAATATTCAGGGATGATTTCAATAATTTTGTCACTCCGGCTGACTTCATCGATCAGATATGGAAGGCACTTCAGTACTGAGCGGAAAACAAGCCATCCTTGTGATTTTTCCTTGGTAAGAGCATCTGAGTTCCATATAGTGTCTAACATTTGTTATTTCTCGAGGCCAAATTACCAAATCATAGCACATACAGATAAAAATGCAGGAATATTACTATAGCATTTCAAATAAAACAGGTACCAAGTTTTTAAGTATAAAATCCTTTACCTATTGCAGTCTTTGAAGAAGTGAGCAGAGCTTGGCCATAGGTTCTACGGCAATACCTCAAAATAGACTCAATGGCAGACCTCACTTTTGGTATGTATTGGCTAATATCATGCCCTGTGTCATATTACAAAGTAAAGAAACACCAGTTACATAAAGAAACAACACCAATTTAATATTGAAATGCAATAAACTCATACATCATCAACATGTTGTCCCTAAGCCTAAAAATCGATCTTTAATACAAAAAACTGATCACCTCGCAACACTTCAAGACCAGAGTTCCTATTGGATGGGGGCATAAGAATGGCAAGCAGTGCACGCAAGCCAATGACCTTTGCTTCACTTAAACTATCTTGCTTAAGCAACTCTAGTATCATGTGATTCATGGAGAAGTCCAGGTTACTTTCAGCTATTGTGACACAAAATTCCACAAGTTTATCATGCTGAACATCCTGAGTTAGCAGACCTTTCTTCAGAAAGGTCAGCAACTGAGAGGTTACACTGTCAAGATAATCCCATACACGATTTCTGGGTTGGTAATCAGCATAAACACTTAAATAAAATCTCACAACTCGATGAAGGCAGTCCAAAGCCATTAAACGGTGATTTTTGTCCTGCATAATCATAAAGGCACAGACATAATTGTGAACTAAGGTTCATGTGATTATCTGAATAAAACATATAAACATTAGCAAACCCAAAATCTTACCCTGAGATGCTTGTACAGATGCTCCATATGAGGACCAAAGTTATTGTTAAATGTTTGAGGATCACCCAGGCAAAGAAGAAGTGTAACCAAAGGGTAGCCAACCTGCAGAAAGGAACATGAGCTAATTAATAAAACCAAACAGAAATTGATAGAAGAATCATAACTCAAAATTCAACCTAGTAGCACAAACATGATTTTAACCAGATTATATCCATAATCATTTTAATAGATAACAGTAAGAAGTTGGGTCATGAAAAGCTGACAAACATCAAAAAGAAGAAGAAAAAAGAAAACAAAAGCAGGAAATATTATAGGGATATGGAAGGTGGTGAATTATACGTTCACTTTCTACATCCATAAGCTATTGAGTGTGCTGCATGTTCTCTTTTAAAATTCATAGTTCCATCTCTTAGAAAAACAAGGAGAAGATAAAAAAGAAAATATGTTTCACCAAAATTTGTGCTTCACCCAAAGATTTATCGGCATTGAAATTAAAACAGATAAAATACTCATAGGAGATTGAGAAAAAAATAAGTGCAACATCTCTCTATGTGAAAAACAGAATATTTTTAAATTTTTACGGAAAGGATAGTCTACTTGTCAGAGGACAGAAAGAAGGAAAAATGGGCAGAAAATACTTCAAAATGTACACACTGAAGATGTGACTTTTAATAGATTTCATTCAAAAGATTACACTCATCTCAAACTGGAAGTAGCAAAGCTCCTTTGTACAGTATGTAGTGACAAAAAACACAAGGAAACAAATGCATCCAATTTCGATGCAGGTCAAAAATATTCCATGAAAACTAATGCATCAAAAATAATACCTGATAAAATTCCATGTCAACCAAAAGCACCAATAAATACATCATGCAAAGAAAAATACAAAGAAGACATTTCTCTTGAAACAATGGGTTCTATTTCAATCGGTAATCCGACTCACTATTATGTGTTTGCTCTGTTTGTCCATCCAATGCATAAGCTGACCTCGTATTCGAGCAACAGCATCATACCATAGAGTCAATGCAGGATCCACACCGGATGGGGGCCATTGACTTTTCCCACCGTCTGCTAGTGGTGCTAATATGCTTGAAAGCATGTTGCACAATGAATGATGCAATTCACTTTTCCTTTTATGTGGAGCACGGTTTAGAGGATTTGCTTTTGCTATAAAAGATGCTGATGCATTTAATCCACCCTCTGTCTTGACCTAGAGAGAATAAAATCTTGTTAGACTCAAACTGGTAAGCACCGAATTATTTTTTTACCCTGAAATATGCTAAACATATTTCAACATCATACCAAAGAGATGATCTATAGTACTTCCCTTGAGATGAGACTGATTTATGTTATTAGTGAACTCTAAAACTTTACAAGTACAGGGAACCATTCAAGGTTCTACAGAGATACTTCTCAAAATCAAAGAAGGTTTTACAGGCCGCCTTACAAACAAACCAGAGACTTAAAACTGGGGTAAAAAAAAAAGAAATAGCCTCAATGCTTAGTAATTTCATATCCTCAAATGGAAATGCAGTTTAAAGAAAATGAGCTATATAGTGGTAACACCCAATCAAAGAATGAATCTATACCATGGCCAATATAACAAAGCCAACAAGGTCCACATCTCCTTCAGTATTGAGAGGATAGAAATTTTTTAGTCGCCCTTAAACAGGAAGTGAACATCTATTCGTCTTACTTTCTCCCTTAAACCTTTTTCAGGCAACTCACTTTGGTTGGTAGAAATCATAGGAACAGTAGGTTGAACACCCAGGAAAAGCTGACTGGATAGCGTATTAGCATTAGGGTATTTCAAACAATGCTTCATTTGGAAATTTCATATGTTGGTTATTGAATTCGGTTCTAAACAGATTGCACAAAAGATGAAACAAATTCTTTGAAAGGTCCAGGAAGGGGACATAGTATAAAATATATCAAATACATTTCAGGAAAAATAGACCACCGCAATGATAAGACATAGAATCAAACTACAGGGAAATGATTGTGGTGAAGAGATTATAAATAAAAACAAAACAAACCAAAACAGCCATCTGGACTTAAACGATACAGCTATATAAGATGTGAAGATGATGCATACCCCCAGTTTAAGATAACGCATCCCATTGATTATGCTTAGAGTTTCACTTCGAGCTATGCTTGTGTCAATGCGGCGGATATTGAGCTCCATGAAAAAGCGCTCCGTCACAGAACTGAACCTAATGTACCCAAAAAAAAGAAAATCGACAATAAAAATTGGCTTCAATGTTACCAATATTAGGAAGAAAGAAGACATTTCAGCCTGCTACCAAGTTTATCATTGAGATTTTAAGATGCTACTGAGATTCATGTCGATTCTATTTATAATTGCTTTAATATAAGATACTTTTTATTGATTTCACTGAATTATATCGAGTCTATAATTTTTTTGATAATGTTAACCTTAAGTTAATTCTACATAATATGGCAATAATCAAAGTCATACACTCTTAGTAATTGCATTTTCAATATTTGCCATCTGCTAGTCGGTAATTACGATGAGATGACTTTAACTGTTATATGATTGTGGGATTTTATCATAAAACAAACACATGGCGTACACATATATGAAGAGGTGTCTGAGTTATTAACATAAATAAACTTAAGTAAGTCTGTCCAAGTCTCCGAGATTCCAGCAATTGGAAGTCAAATATAATTTAAACTGAGTCACAGGCTTTTTAAGTAGGACTTATCGAATATATAAAGTCCGTCATGTCCATATATCTAACCTGACCAATGTTATCAAATTCGCTTCACTTCACTTCGGCCGAGAGGCCGAAGCCTTCGGATTTTAGGCATAAACTAAAGCGAAGTGAAGCTTGGTGCTGCTGCTTCGATCAGATACAGGCTGCTTCGGCTAGATTCGGTATGCTTTGGGTATGCTTCGGGTCTGCAAAGAAATAGTTATATAAAAGTATTTTTTTTCTTTTTTAGTTTTTTCATTTTTTTTATTTTTTATTTTTCATTTTTAATCTTTTCCATTATAGGTATATATTTTATATATAAATATCTAATTTATTTATATTCAATTTTTAAAAAAAAGTCCGAAGTCTTCCCCTAAGGCCGAAGCATTGAATTGCTTCATTTTTCTCACCAAACCGAAGAAGACTCCGAAGCGAATTTGACAACGTTGAGCCTGACAACTTTCTTGAGTACAGAGTAGTGAGAGTTCTGAGAAGTACTAATTAGGAACTAAATAGCATAAATTCTCGAGTTTCTAGAAGCATAAACCTATGGAACAAACTGGAACATAAATATTTTTCTATAGAGATTCAATGGCATATATAAGCCGCACATTAATCCATGCCACGAAAGACCAAAGAGGATTATATCAATGGCATCAAACATAAATACAATAACCTAACATATTGAGTTCTTCAAGAAATTCTGAGTAGCATCTATACCTGATGCGTGATAAAGCACCTAAAAGCTGCGCAACAAGGTCTAAGAGAAGACCTCTTAAGTCGACCAAAGATGGATATTCTGTCTGGCTCACAACCCTACAACATTGCATTAGGAAGGCAATTATACAAATGATCTACATAAACAAACATATGTTAGTTATATACCATGTATGAATAATCTGATAAATAAAAAATATCTCATGTATCCATATGTTTTTCATCAGTGACCAATATCTGATAGATGTATAATACTTACATTTATACCATGCTTAACTGAACTTCAAAATGTTCTTTTAACATGCAATTGGAATAGAGGTGGGATCAAAGTAAATGCAAATTGAAATCAATATCTTTGTTTCTGAATTGCTTATGTGCTTGTCAGTATTTTCAATGGCAAATTCTTTACCAACAACATAGTAACTAAAGGAAAGTTTGTTATTGCCAGAATAGTTCTTTGGAGTAAAGGCATGGTTAAGATCAAAAAGCCTACCTACAACAAAGCTTTGCACTCCTGGATGTGTGTATTCTAGGTGGATAATAATCTGTAATGTAAATTCATCATGTATAGCTCAGAGAACTCATCTCCAGTCCAGGGTGATCCATATTGCAGGAATCTCAAGACTTAAAAACATGTGCAATTAATTTCCCTCAATATCCTTGGTTCTGAATCTTTATTATTATCCTTTTTTAATTCGGAAGCTTTGAAACTAACTATTTATTTACCAGAAGATTTTTATGTCTCAAAATGCACCTTCCATTCTGCAACTGCACTTAGTTTAATACTGATACAAAAAGTAAACACAGACTGAAACTCACAGTCATTTAAACTCTAAACAACCAAGCTCCTCCTTCCACTTGATATCATATTGCATCAATGCAACCATTATCTATTTCAAGTTCATGGGGGAAGATCAAGCAGAGCCTTTAGGTCATCAACGTTAAGTTCTGTGTGAAGATTATGAATTTGATTTCAATGCGAACATCAACAAGCAGTTTTTTGGTATTTGACAAAATGAGAAGAACAAGTAGATGAATGCAATGTCCACAAAAAAAAAGTAGAGAGGAATATGCAATGTCCAAAAAAAAAAGTAGATGAATATGTCAACCCCACAAGAAACAATGTGAACAACATCATCATTGAGGTCTCACCTGTCAGCATTGATAAGCCAATCAAAGACAAAATTCTCTAGTCCAGACCAAAGCTTTTCTGAAAATGAGAGAGTATCAAAAAAATTGAAAAATAAAAGAGAATTAGGACATGATTTATAACCCAAAAAAAAAAGATAACAAATCTGCCAGAAGAAACAAAAAAATTAGAGCTAAAGAATGTAAAGACCTGTAAGGCCTTCTTGTGGGCAGCACTCCACAAAGCGAATGCATGCAGAACAAAATATGCACTCCACTGCAAGCTGTATTTGCAGGGAAACCAATGGCAATTTTTTTCAATAAATTAGTCAATTATATTCCTTCAAATTTTCATATAGGAAATTCAATAAGCTTGATAAGGGAACTGATGGGAATGGGCTCTGGGCACAGGTGGTCCGGGTGGCGGGTGCCACAACGTGACGTCTAGAGTTCCATTCCCACCAAGTCCCAAATTAACATTCAAAAGGATAAAAGGATGAAACTTTCACGCAACCTATTTGGACAACCACATAATATCGAGCTATAAGTTCACAGAGAAGGACTTTTAATATAAGAAAGGTTTTAGTCAGTGAACTTTTGGTAATTACTAATTACAAATAACACTCTCCAGCATGAGGAAGAGAGTTCGACAAATCTCCAAATGAATGGATATAAGCTTTACATCCAAGCCACAATTGATGGGTGGCGCAAAACCCAAGTCACTCTAAGAAATAATCTACGATAGAAAAATTTGGCAGACCTTTCTTTGGAATGTTGCAGCATCATTTGCACCCTTTGGAGATTCACTGCAATAAATAAAGGTGAACCCGGTCAAGCATGTAAATGAAAAGTTTGTATTATATGTAAATTGGTTTTCAGACAAGCAAAAATATTTAATCGTAAATTCATTGATTTTGATTAAATTTTAAAGAAAGGAAAAGGCCCCACAAGCTCCTGCCTAAAAGCCATATCGGCTTATCTGAAAACAGAAAGGAAATTCATGCTCGACACTGACCCCTTTGGCAAAGACAACGCTTAATTCTTTGCTAAAGGGGCAAATCTGAATCATTTTTCAAAATCCAATAAAAATTCTCACTCCAGATGGACAGAAACAAACTCCATAAGCCACTCCAAATGGACAGAGACAAACTCTATAAGCCACTCCAAGTGGACAGAAACAAACTATAGAACAATAATTACTATTCGAAAGATTAAAGTTTGACTACCTTTCTCTCCACCTAAGTAAAGCTTCAAGAAGAGGTACAGGTGTATGCCTAGCGACCATTGCTAATGAATCCAGGACCTGTTCATATGCTGGATCTGATGGTCGAAGGTATTGTCCATCCTGTGAATTCATAACAGTCATCCAATGATCCAAATGAGATACAATAATAATAATAATAATAATAATAATAATAAGAAGAATAATAATAATAACAATAATAATAATAATAGTGATAACAGTAATAATTACGGAATCTGGGATGATAGGGCTCTTAGATCTAATGAGGTAACACCAGACCAATAATCCTTCTTGAGAAATGTCAAATGCACGCTTGGCCAATTAGATTTGGAAAAGGAAAAGTGAACAATTTTTAATATACTACATGCATCACATGTTTACATGCACTGCAATGAACAATCCCATTCTTAACCAAATCCTACAATCCCAAAGATTAAGCGGAAACTCCTTCGAGGAAATGACTTGTTTTTTTCGTGATAATGTTAACCTTTGTATTGATAAAGAGATGGTACAAAAAGAGGAAAAGGCCCCTAAAAATTGGGGGTCCTGCATAAGAACCTAAAAGGTTCCAAAAAATGGACCCCTCTAACAGGGTAAATACATCGGAGTAGTTATAAGGGAGATAGAGAAATGGGAGGGGGGGAGGGGTTGGGATAAGGAGGTCATGGACCCGTAGCCACTAAGTTGGGCGATTAGGCTCCATCTTTGGCGAGTGCATCAGCTTCGGAGTTTGCTTCTTTGAGAGTGAGATTCCACGGTATATGAAGGGATGAGCTGCGGATGAAGATTTCATCGAACGAATATTGCAGTCTCCAAGGGCAAGGTGTCACTCCTGAGGCCCAATCATCACATTGAGATTATCCCCTTCGACCAATAAGGAGGGTTTTGAAGAAGAGTCGAACTCTCTTAAGCCTTCGAGGAGAGCTCTTGCTTCTGCGACTGTGGAGTCCGTTACCCCGATATGGTTGGAGTATGAATGAACAATGTTACCCTCTGATTTACGAAATAAGCCACCAACTCCTGACGGACCCAGATTGCCCAAAGAACATCCATCACAATTGAGTTTGATTTGGTCTAAGTTGGGGGGGACGCCATAAGGAGGATCTGGAAGGTCTAAGGGGGCGAAGGGTGAGGATGGTCAGCTTCAGCCAGTACTGGTGGAAGTTCGAGGTAGAGAAATGGTTAAAAAAATTGTTGGTACTGGCCCAGCTAATAATAGAAGCTTTGAGGGAGTCCAAGAGGGATTCAAGAGATTTGCCCTTGCTTGGAAAATCATCTTGTTGTTTCTTGTGCCGGTAAATAGCTCGGGTAGCCAGCACAAGAGCGCGGGTTCGAGTCCTGAGAGCAGCCACTTTGTGCATAAGCCAAAGGTTAGGACCGTTTCCAGCCCACCCCTCCCAGGACTGCTTAGGCAAGACCAGCACCGGGTTAGGACCCTTCTTCTTCTTCTTTCAATCCACAGGGTCCACAAGAGTCTGAGGCCGCTGTCCGCCAAAGGATTAATCCTAGTTTGGGCCACGGAGGGGTGAACAGTTGCTGGAATATCTGAGGGAGAGATTGGGGGGTAACCAATTGCCATCTAAAGAGCCACAATATGTCTGCCCATAAAGCCAGATCTAGAAGGCAATGGATGAAAAGGTGAGGGTCTGTTTCTTCCTCGTTGCGGCACAAAATACATCGGTTTGGGAGTTGAAGACCTCTCCATTGGAGCTGGTCCACAGTTAGAGCTCTTTTGGAGCATGCTAACCACGTGAACCACCTGACTTTGGGGGTAGCAAGGTTAGACCATGCCCTGGCAGCAACCGACGGGTTAAGAGGGATGGCTTGGGCTTTGAGGATTTGGTAAAAGGATTAAACTGAGAAGGTTCCTGAGGGAGTGGGGGTCCATATCAGGGAATCCTGGCCCTGATCAGGGAAGAAGAGGGAATGGAGCAGGGACGAGAGATCCATGAAATTGGACTCCTCTTGTTCCGTTAGACATCTTCGGAAACTGGGGCTCCACACTCTAGTTCCTCCAATCGATTCGAAGGATTCTGCCTCCGTCACCTCTCGGTACGAGGCCAGGAGGTAAAGATTCTGGAATCAATCCCTAAGAGGGGAAATGACATTTTGAGAGAAAAAACTTATTGTGCCACCAAATTCGATATAACAACAAACACATTGTTGTATTTCCCAAGGAAAACAATGAATTAATATTGTAGTTTAGTTATACAGAAGAACATCTTATTGCACAGACTATCATGAGTTATGCTTAGCTGTGGATTGGGAGGCGCCCACAGCGGATGATTTCAAAATGAGGGAGCAAAGAGAAATTGTGATATGCTCTAGGTCTAATCAGGAATAAAATGAAGAAATCTCGAAAGATTGATACCTCCACTAGGCTTGTTATAGGTATTTTTCATCCAAGGTTTGAGATGGAAAGAAGAGCTTGGATCTAGGAGTTGGCAGGGCTACTCAATACTCATTATATAGAATTAGGATGGCTTTGGTCAAACTCTTCAGTATCATGTGTAGTCTACATTCAAATTCACAGAAAAACTAATAACTATAAGACAGGATTCTAAGCAAACTAGAAGTCAGAAAACAGTGCATAGCTATTTCAAAAAAAATACAGTTCGAACTAATGAATCCAAAAGAGGGTTCTAAACCAACTTCAAGACAGCAGAAATTGGACAAACACACTGTAAGAATAAGGCTCCAACCTTTAAGGCCACTCCTAAATTGCAAATTCCCCTCAACAAAATGGAGAAACTAAACCCGAACAAATTGGAATGCACGATTGCATGATTAAATATCATGCTTGCTCTTTGAAATCGATGTCACAAACCATCATTAAAATACAAATGATTAAACATGAGTTTGATTTTATAAGAGTGTTCACACCTGAGCCTGAGCAGTATCAATGCGTCTCCTGGCAAGAGGAAGGAATCGTTGGAGCAACGCATCCACAATGAGCTTGGCAGCACTCCCCGCCCTCATTTTTCCCTCTTCAGAAGTCCCCACTCACCTTGGTCCTATAGAATTGATTCACTCAACCTGAAAACATTAAACTCCCCTTCTGAGGAGACCATCGAAATTATTGAACAGAGAGCGAGAACAAGAGGGAGATAGAGATTAGATAGAATGAGGGATCATGATTTCTTAGCAAAATTTCATGAAAAGAGGAAGCAGAGAGAGAGGAACTAGGAAATTCACGACGCATTGCATAGAGAGGATGGGAAATAGAGCACCATATCAAATGGCACTAATTCAATTGATAAATCAAGAGTGACTCTGTGTGTTTGTGCTTGTGAAAGAGAGATAGATCTGATACCTGCACGAAGAGTTTCTAGACAGAGAAGGAAAATGAACCTAGGGTTCCTTGTGTAACAGCAGTAGAATTGGGCGAGTCTCTCTCTCTTCCTCGCTCTCACTATTGCCAGAGAGGCCGCAGAGGGAACCTCATTTTTGCAGTGACTGAAATGACGAAAGTGCATTTCGAAAGAAAAAACAGTATGATCCATAAAAAGATCGTAAACGTGAAGCTATGTTTATCACTATCCATCGTTAACTTGGACGGTAATAAAGGGAGAGTGGGACTTAGGCTGATCCTTCTTATAATTAGCGGTGCGTAAAACTGCGACTGTATTTTATTTCGAGAAATTAACGTTATTATCTTTCTCTTGGCGTATTCTTTGATAATACAAGAAAGGACTAATTACTTTTGATAGAAGGGAGTCGCAATGATTTTTGTCCGGGAGATTTCAAATTGGGTGGGTATAAGTGTGCCACTAGACTCAAAACTTATAAAAATAAATAAAAATGATTCTCGACCTTTATGACCTACTCCAAACCATTTAGTTTGCGATTAAATTGCTAGAAGTGATTATGACTTATTTATAGCAAAGATAAATGGTCTCATAGTAGACAATCCCGATTATGACCCATATACTATAAGGTCTAAGCCTTATAAAAAAAATCTCACATAAGCCTTATCAATAAATAAATAAAAGGTATAACATCACCCATCTCGCAAAAAATAATAATAATAATAATAAAGCATCACCTCAAAACTTCGTCGAAAATACTTTAGCTGGGTAACCTCTATAATGGCTCTAAAATTAATATCCACCTATGATTATGAATTTCCATTTGCAATTAATTTAGATGTCTCATCCTATCATCAGTAAATTAAATCAATTAATTTTTACTACACTAATCGGATTAAAAATGGTCTGGCCCATTATCATTTTCTCTATGATGGTCTTTTTTTTTTTTTTTGGATCCACAAATTTTTTTTATCTAAATGCAAAAGATGGAAAAGTTGTTTTTTAACCGTTTTTCATAAAAATGTGTTTTCAACGTTTTAATCAAAATAATGTGTTTTTCCCTATATTTTGAAAATAACATAGTTTAAAACATGTCACAAAAACAACATTTTTTTTTTAAAGTCACACTTTTAACGGTGACTTGCTAAGTATAGTATGAATAAAAGAATTTATATAAAAAATAAGTCATTTTGTAACAAGTTACGTGGACCATCTATTTTCAATATTTTTTAATGTTTATAAGCAGGCTCAATCTGTATCATTTTAGAATTATAAATTTCAAAATTATGATTGAACATAGATTTTCAAGCTATCATAAAGTTTTCAATACAAGAACTACACCTTCTCGCAAAATTTAGAGATACGCCTTACTTGTACAGTATAGGGTGGGCACCTCGTACAAACCTCACCCATAATAACCTACGGTAGGTTGGGAGAATGCAATTAAGTTTGTGGAACTTGGATCCTTATTTGAGAGCGACCTGGTTCTCTTTTTCTTCCTTTTCCTTTTCCTTGACTTACAACTGGGGTAGGCCCATCACACCTTGACCATTGCTGCAGTCTTTGCCATAAGACCGAGCCATGGAATTTCCCAACAATGGAGCTTCGGCTTCTCTTTCTATCGCTGTGTTTTCAAATCTTGGTTCTTATGCCAAGACTGCAACCTAGATGATTTAGCATCCTTGGTCAATTTCATGACTGGTTTTGATGGGGGGATAGCTGGTTGGATTAAAGAATATGCTTGTTGCAATTGGAATGGGATTTTAGGCCAATAAAATGAAGAAGATTTCATGGCCTCCCCTGCTCATGAAGAAGGGTGACAGGCTTGGTACTCAGTAGAAAAAGCCTGATGGGGACCATTCTCGGTTTGTGGCCGGTCTTGATCGACTTCGACTCCTTGACCTCTCCCACTTGCCATAAGAAATCTTCAATCTTAAGGAGCTCGAAGTCCTTGACGTGAGCAACACAAAGCTCTCTTGCTCGGTTCCGGCCCCCATCAATCTTGGATCGATCAATATATTCAACATCTCAAGAAATGGTTTCTATGGTTCTCTAACCCACCTAACTATTAGGTTTATGTGACCTTTAAAGAAACATGTAGGAGCCTTTTATATAGTGAAACATAAACTCAGTGCGAGTGTGGTCGTCTTGCAGACCATATTAGGCAAATACAATTTTTCGATACTCAAATTAGGCTCGACGTGCTAGGCTAGTCGAGTTTGAAAAAATCCAAGATACCTGGGCATAGGGATCTACCAATAACGGTTTAGTGGGTTAGCCCTTGATGATGTCGGAGTATGCCCAGATGAGAGTTGAGGGACTGTGTGACCCTTACGTGTGATGAATAGCCTTTAGAGACAAGGATAAAACCTCATCGTTAGATCATCACACGGTATGTATATAAAAATAGCCATTTTGATATTCGCCAATGAGGGTGAAGTGTGTACATGTGCGATATATTACTCCTATGCACCATAGAGTCATGGTCTGGATGACCATGATTTTTTTGTCTTTAGGGAAAACCTGAAATCTATAAACTGGGATTACGTCTCTTAATCTATTGACTGACTTTGGTAGTCCAATCATGAGCCCCTGTAGTAGACTATGGGTCATGGGAACTGCCTGATCAGTTTGATAAAGCTCGGTGGATTGTGGTCCGCAGCTGAAGATGTAGTGCTCCCATATATTGATAAATTATTAGATCTAACGGATTTGATTCCCATAAAATTAATTAGTTTTAATTAATTTTATGATATATGATTTTTTGAATGTTTATTTAAATTTTTGTTATTTGGATTCATAAATTAGGATAAATTAATTTTTCAATATTTTAAATAAAATATAAGACTTAAATTTTTAAATATAAAATAAAATATTTGCTAAAATTATATGGGACCCTCCATAAATAAAGGTGGCCAATTTAGAACATGTGGGATTGGGTGAGCCTACATGTGGCCACGAAAGGGTGGGATACCCCACCCATAAGAACTAACATGTTCTCCAAGTTTGGGTGATCTAATAAATAAAGATTGGATACACTAAAATAAAAAACAAAAAATATATATTTTTTTATTTAAAGATTTGATAAGAATGGATATAGGAAATTGAGGACAAAGCTCTAGCTCATCTCTTTAAATCTAATGGTGGATAAAATAAATAGATAGCTTAAATCTCTCACCCCACAAGTCTCATTAGATTGACGATCAATATTTGACTTTATGAATTGAGGCAAACCCTAAAGCATGGAAAATCTATATAAAGAGGCGCTCCCATCTCATAAAATCTCTACACCTATTTGCTCTTATCTCTCAAAGGTTAGCTTGTGGTGGTTTGATTTTTGGGTAGTAAAAAGGATGATCCTCTTGCTAGTAGATCTCTCCCTCTCAATTTAATTTATTTTTCATCTCTCCAAATATCAAGCCAAATGGGCTTGAGCCAGACTAAGGCATTGAGGCATTAGGTAGTTGGTTTCAGATCCAGATCCATATAAGAGTTTTGAATCAAGAGACCAATCATAGATGCCGAGCACCATCAGAAAGATGAGACTCGGTGTGGGGTATACTAAGCCGGTTGAGGTAATCTCCAGCAATCTTACTTATTTAAAATTTTATTTGTGATTTGATATTTTCTTCCCATAAAGCAATGAGTTAAAGTTTTAATTTAAAGAATTGTATTCAACAGTGGTAGCAAGTGAGAAGCATGTTTTTTTTTTTTATTTGTTTCAAGAGTTATTTGTGTGTAATTGGACATTGTGAATGATATTGCCGGTATAAGAATAAGAAAAATAAGAAAATTTTTAATTTATATACATCGTGATTTATCACTTAGTCCAACTTTCATTGGTACCAGAGCTAGATCTACTTATTTCCCTATTTAATTTATTTCACTATTTTTTGTGAGTTGGGAATGATATATAAGGAAGCCAATAACTTTTATGGTCAAGTGATACACCTCCAGAAGAATTATTGGCACCTTCAAACGTCGAGAAGGCACTCTACAGAATCGGGTATTTCTTTGATGCATTCTTCAGAGATATAATGTATTTTGGAGAGTAAGATCTACCTACAAAATATTAGTGGGAGATCATGGGGAATTGAGAGTTAATGACTCATCCATGAAGGGTGTCAATTACGACTTTGCAAAATCCAGGAACTGTCCATTGGATTTCATGATTTTTTTTCACCAATCATATGATTTTATATTTAGCTAAAATTTGCTTGTAACTCATCAAATTGAGTCTACTTTCAAACAAAAATATTTTCATGAAGAAAACCCTTGTGGTTTGAAAGATATGATCAATTTTTTTGAAGGGTGTGCAAGTGATGTTTTCTGTAACGAAAACTATCTCAATGACTTGGAAGTCATAATTTTATTTTCATTATTAATAGAATGTTTTAAGGCCACACCAAGTTTCTAAACTTCCATTTTGAATCTATTTTCTAATAAAATTTAGAGGTACGCCTTACTTGTACATTATAAGTTTGGCACCTTGTACAAACCTCACCGATAATAACCTAGAGTAGGTTGGGAGAATGCAATTAAGTTTAGGGAACTCGGATCCTTATTGAGAGCGACCTGGCTCTCTTTTTCTTCCTTTTACTTGACTTACAACTGGTGTAGGCCCATCACATCTTGACCATTGCCGCATTCTCAAATGCAATAAGTCTTTGCCATTCGACCAAGCTATGGAATTTCGCAACAATGGAGCGTCAGCTTCTCTTTCTATCTCTGTGTTTCCAAATCTTGGTTATTCAAGCCCATAGCCAAGGCTGCAACCTAGATGATTTAGCATCCTTGGTCAATTTCATGTCTAGTTTTGATGGGGGGATAGCTGGTTGGACTGAAGAATATGCTTGTTGCAATTGGAATGGGATTTTATGCCAAGAAAATGAAGAAGATTTCATGGCCTCCCCTGGCTCAGGAAGAAGGGTGACAGGCTTGGTACTCAGTAGAAAGAGCCTGATGGGGACCATTTCTCGGTCTGTGGCCGGTCTCGATCGACTACGACTCCTTGACCTCTCCCACAATTCTATTCAAGGCTCCTTGCCATCAGAAATCTTCAATCTTGAGCAACTCGAAGTCATTGACATGAGCAACAACCAGCTCTCTGGCTCGGTTCCAGCCATCTTCAATCTCCGATCGATCAAGATATTCAACATCTCAAGAAATGGTTTCTATGGTTCTCTGCCCCTTCTAACAGGAGCAGTACACCTTGTAGTGTTTAATATTAGTGGCAATAGCTTTAATGGGTCAGTTGAGGCTGGGATTTGCAACGTGTCGAGCTCGCCATTGATAGTTGGATCTTTCAGCAAATAGGCTTCAAGGAGAGCTTCCAGAAGGCATCAGAAGTTGCAGGTCGTTGAAGGAGCTTTATGTCTCCGAGAACTCTCTCTCAGGGAAACTACCACATGGGTTGGGAAACCTCACAAACTTGCTTTCTTTGGGGCTCTCTGAAAATGCATTCTTAGGTGATATACCAGACATGTTTAGTGATCTTAAGGAGCTGCAGTTTCTCAATGCTCGCTCGAACCAGTTCACAGGGCCCTTGCCCTCTTCTCTATCTCAATGCTCAATGCTCCAGGTGCTTAATCTGATGAATAATTCTCTAGAAGGTGACATCAATCTCAATTTCACAGGAACACCTCTTCTCAAAGGCCTAATTCTCAAATATAATAAGTTTACTGGTTATCTTCCAACGACGCTTTCGGAATGTACTAGGTTGGAAGCTATGGACCTGGCCAGGAATGACTTCAGTGGTGAAATCCCTGAAGAATTTGGAAACTTGCAATACCTCTCTTTCCTCTCACTATCAAACAACAGCTTTCAAAACATATCGAGGGCATTAAAGATACTACAGCGGTGCCAAAGTCTCACTACTCTGATCCTGACAATGAATTTCTACAACGAAGAACTCCCGAGCAGCATTTTTTACATTGTTCCAAAATTCAAAAGTTTAAGGGTGCTTGCCCTCCCAAATTGCGGACTTTATGGTTCAATCCCGCCATGGTTGTCAAGCTTGAGAGAGCTGCAGATACTAGACTTATCATGGAACCATCTTTGCGGAACTATCCCTCATTGGATTGGAGCCCTTTCCCACCTCTTCTACTTGGACTTATCAAACAATTCACTCGGCGGAGAGATTTCTCAAAGCTTGAGCCATTTGCCGAGCCTCATTTCTGGTCCGATGTCAACAACAGAACCCAATCCCATAGGCTTGCCTCTGTATTACAGGCGTAACCCGAAGGCAAACGAGTTGCAATACATTCGTGTTGCGAGCTTTCCTCCATCCCTGTATCTAAGCAACAACAAGTTGACTGGACAACTCTCACCGGAGATCGCCAACTTAATAAGGCTTCATGTATTGGATCTGAGCCGGAATAATTTTTCAGGCACCATTCCTGATGGCATATCAAATATGCGGAACCTGGAGCAATTGGATTTATCTCAAAACAATTTATCCGGATCCATTCCGCCTTCATTGGTGAGGCTCAAACTTTTTGGCTCAATTTAATGTGTCACATAACAGCCTGCAAGGGGAAATCCCCTCAGAAAACCAATTCTCAACATTTGCAGAGTCAAGCTTTGAGGGAAATCCAGGTCTTTGTGGCACACCATTGCCACCATGCCGAGAGACTGAGACACCACATAACGGGTTTACTTCTCCTTGGTGCTCAGATGGCAGCAAGTTGGGGATAAATAACATGGGCTTGTTATGGACTGTAACATGTACATTGTTGCTTGCGGGCATGTCTTGAGATACTGAACTTGTCATGTAAATTAAGGTATCATATGTAAACTAGCATCGCCTACAGCTTTATTCTTCAGTTTAGTTTTTCCACTCTTCATTGTATATTTTAATGGGTACAGTATGTAGCTCTAAACAACCAAAGTAAAGTTCACCTTCAAATAGTGTCGAGAAATTTGGTTTTAATATTAAAAATATTTATAATAGCTTTAAACTATATTTTCATATCTAATTATAAAACTTAAAGCTCAAAAAATAGTGTAGATCGAGCATATATATGAAATTTTAAAAATATTGAAAATTGACGGTCCAAAAATACATTCCAAGATGCACTAGTTTCAAAACTTAAAATCCATTTTTTTTTCTCATCTCCATGCATCTTGATGTCGAGATGATCACTTTGAGGATATTTGGGAATCAAAAGAACCTCTTATAGTGATAAATTTTGAGGTGTGATTTAATTTGATAGTTTAGAGCCTCGGCTCCATATAAACTTTTGTTTTTAGAATATGGCTTCCAATTGGGATTTTGGTAGTCTAAAAACAAAAATCCAATTTGTTTGAAAATACTTAAAGCAAAAATCCGATTTGATTGAAAATACTTAAAGCCAATATTTTTCTGGTTTTAGATTGTCGGACGTCTTCCCTATTTGCTAGGATGCATAATGGCCTGGTTTTAGGTGGTCAGACGTTTTCCCTCTTTGCTAGAATGGATAATGGTCTAACTTGATATCATCTACCATTGCGCGTGCCGCGAGTGGCGGAAAATATGTGGTTTCTCAGACCTCACCAGTCGCCACAATGGAAATTTGTGAGCTCAATGTAATGCCATATTAAAATTTATTTAGTTGGAGAAATTTTGACTAATCTCCTCTCTATTTTTTCTTTTCTTTTTTGTAGTATTTAGAAAAAGAAGAAGTTTATATAAGGTTGCAACCTTAAAATGTAGCATTACAGATGCAATTCAAAACTCCATCGGAAAATATTCTTTTAATATTGAAAAAACCTCTAATTTATCATCTCGACATCGAGATGTGTGAATATGAAAAAAAAAAAAAAATTAGTCCCATAAATAGTGCATCTTGCAATACATTATCTAGACCGTCCATTTTCAATATTTTCATATATTTATGGATCTACTTGATTATAGCCATTTTTGGAGTTTAAAATTTTATAATTAGATATGAAAATAGATTTTGAGATATTTCTAAGAATTTTTTTCACTAGAATTACTTATGATAAACTTTGAAGGTACGCCTTAACTGGATTATTTAAAGTTACAACCTTATAGAAACCAATGTATCTTGTACTTTATATTTTAGGCACATGGGTCTTTTTTTTCTTTTTTTTAAAAAACACCCCAAGGTCTGAATTTGGAGTTTATTTCTTTTCCTGTTTTTTCGTCTAGTTTTTTAATCAGAACTCCAAGTTCTAACCCCTTTTTTTTTTCCTTTTTTTTTTTTTTTAGAAAAATGTCATAATGTGAAGTTCTGTTTCGGTCTAAAAAAACTTGTTACTTTTTTTTAATGACCAAGTCAGATCTCCAACTTCGTTTCTGATACAAACATGTTGTAGGAAACCCAATCACAACACAAAGTTCCGATTGGCCTTAAATAATTTTCTTTATTTTAATGATCGGACGAATTTTGGGCACCCGTACATCTCACTATTATGCACCTAAAACACAAAATAAATATTTTGAAAAAACAAAATGACCAGATAGTTAGGCGTATTTTGGATATTGATATTGTTTATTTAATCTTTTATGTTACCTTGAATTGTGATGGTTAGAAGCGTGTGCATGCAAATTTAAGCCTAATCTGATTTATAAGAAATGAAATTAAAATACAATAAGTATTGTAAATTTTGATCGAAAGATTGATGTTTTCTTTTTTTTTTCTTTTTTTTTTTTTTTTTTTTTTTTGTGGAGTGAGAAGGGGTTCGGATATCCAAAGAACAACTTTTTGCGGCAACAAAAAAAAAAAAAAAAAAAATTGCAGGTGTTTCAAACATTGGATGTTCCGACCTCTGTTTTAGGTTAAGAAAAAGACTAATGTGGGTGTTCAAACAGAGGAATCATCACAATTACAAAAAAAGAAAAAGAAAAGGGAAAATTATCATAAATATATTTTAATTTTTGATTTATTGGAAAAAAATCTTATTTTTTAAAGCCTCATTCATACAATTTTTTTTACTTTTTACATTTTTTTACCAGAATAGCCATCACGGTAGTTGTTTGGCCATGAAAATATCATGGTAATTAAATACCACGGATCACCATGAAAGGCATCCCTCTACTTACTATTGTGATCCATGAGAGGTATCCCAATATTAAATACCGTGACAACATATGTATCATAATATTAAATACCATGACCACAAGATGTATCATGGTATTTAACTATCGTGGTCTCATATTTTGCTCACCTAGAGAGAAGCATAGTCTTATCCACGAAAATCACAGTAGGAAGACTCGCTTCATCGTCAAAACCGAGGTCTTCACAATCTATCTCTCTCTCCTCCATAAATCTAACAAAACACACCTCTTCAAATCACAGTCTCTCTCTAAACTTCGGTCTCCCTCTTGCGCCCCTTGCTCTTATTTAAATTCCTCATCAGTTGCAGAGAATCCATATTTCTCTCACTAGTTAAATAATATTTATCTTACAATTGGCTCAAAATGCCTAACGTATCCTCTCTCTCTCTTCCAACCAATACTCCACTCTCTTCTTCCTCACACCTCTGTAACTCAACAAAACCCTGCGATTGCCCACTTTCAGAATGCCATCCAAAACATGCAAATTCAATATGTTTATTAGAGAGAGAGCGATCCCGTATTAAAATCCCTTGGATTTCACATGGAGAAAGACCTCCGTGGAGGGGAAATCTCACCATCTAAATAAACCACATTGATTCTAGAGAGCTCTTTATAATTTAACCTTGGTGCTAATCCATCAAACAAATTGGAAACTCGATATGTTTCTTAGAGAGAGAGCATCCCGTATTAAAATCCCTTAGAATTTCACATAGAAAAGACCTCCGCGGAGGGGAAATCTTGCCATCTAAATAAACTACACGGAGTCTATATAGATAGAGAGAGAGTCGATCACCCCATAAGAATAGTCTTATGTGGTCATTAAAGGTATTTTATATAGCGAAACATAAAACTTAGTGGGAATCAGGTCTTTTATGAATCATACTTGGTAATACTAACATTTACCGATACTTAGACTTGGCTCGACGTATTATGCCAATCGAGTTGGAAAACCCAAAATACCTCATGCTCATTCATCATGGCAACTCCGACCTCATCGAGGAATGACTCATTGAACCATCACACGACATGTACAAAGATAGCCGTAATGAGATAGCAGATGGGTAAAGCGTGTACATGTGCCAGAGATTATCCTATGCACCGTGGAGTTGTGGTTGCATCATGGTCTTGGGGACTATGGATTCATCTTTAGGGGATAACTTGCAGTCTATAGACTGGGATTACATCCTCTCGCCTATTGGCAGACTTTGATGACCAATCATGAACCCCTGCAGTAGACTATTAGTCATGATAACCACCAGGGCAGTTTTAGAAAGCTAGTGTGGATTATGGTCCACAATTGAAGGTAGAGTGCTTCAGTATATTCATAATTCCTAGATCTATACAGATCCGATTCTCATCAAAATTAAGTAGCTTAATTAATTTTATGTTATATGATTTTTATAATAATTATTTGAATTTTTGTGATTCTCTTGATATTTTATTTTTATGATTTAGATTTATAATATAATAGAAAATCAATTTCTAGTGCTTTAAATAAACTAAAAGAAATAAATGATATTTTTAAATTTTCTCCACACGCCTCTCCTCTTCTCTCTCTAAAAACTCTCTTACAATTTCTCTCTCTCTAAGGGGCCACGCCCCACCTATGTCTCTCTTTTTAGTCGGTTGCAAAACGGGGGCACGCCCAAGCAAGGAAAGCTCTCACTCTCTCTTTCTCCAAGAGTTTCTCTCTCATAAATGGTAGAAGGGGCATGCCCCATCTAGAGGATATCTCTCTTGCCATCTCTCTAGGTTAAGCCAAAGAGGGCTTAAGGTGAGCTAAGGCATTAAAGCCTTAGCACTTTGGTTCAAGATAGATCCATATGATTTCATTATTGGGGGTTTTGCCATACCTAGTGGATTTGAGTTTGATTATTGATTATGAGCACCATTCACCATTGGAGAATGTGACTCGGTGTGTGGTGTACTAAGTCCGGTTGAGGTAATTTTTGATAGTTTTTTTTTTATTTTATTTTATTTCTTTTATTGTGCTCTCATATTTCCATAAAGCAATGTGTCAAGTTTTTTTATTGAATAAATGAGTTGTTTTTAGTAGTAGCAAGTGAAAACTGTTTGTATTTTTTTATTTATTTTAATAGATATTTATTTGTAATTGGACCTTGTAAATGATCTAGTCGGTGAAAGAAAATAAAATTTTAAATTTATATACACAGTGCTTTATCACATAGTCCGCCTTTCATTTCATAGATAGAGCAACGGCATCAATTTCCTAGAGATGTTATTGTTATTGACCTGAAATGGCTAGTGGAGCAAAACATTGAGACCACAAATGTAGTTAAAATACCGTGATACACTATGATAATCGCGATATTTTAAACACCGTTATACCTCTCATAGTCATCATGGTATTTTAAGTACCATGATGCTTTTACGGTAATACGACTACTATGAAGGCTATTGTTTTACAAAAAAAAAAAAAAGTGTGTGGATGAGGTTTAGAAAAGTATGAGTTTTTTTTAATTCTTCTTCTAATAAACTAAAAATTAAGATATATTTTTTATAATTTCCCCAAAAAAGGGACATACGATGTTTAAACCATTTTCTACCTCAAATTAAAAAAAAAAACAAATACTAGTATAGAAATTGGATATCCAAAACATGATAAAAAGGAAATGCAAAAATAGTTATAAAAAAGTGGGACTTTAGTTATAAAAAAGTGGGATTTGAGTGTGAAATAAAATTTAAGTGAGACTCTTTTTAAATTCTCATCTGTATAAGGGATTTATTTTTGTAAATTTTCCTTATTTTTTGTTGGGGAATTAAAAGCCATTTGAGAAATACACATAAAAATCTATTTTATTTTTAAATTTCATAATAGTCCCTTACACCTCATTCTTTACCCAGTTCACACTTTTTGAGGGCATATGGGGTGCTATAATTTTTTTTATAAATAAATCAAATTGATCTCATACATTTAAATTTTTTTTTAAATTAAAATTTATCAAATGACCCGTGAGGGAGTATTATTTGTCATTCATTTGCAACTATTTCAGCTTATATCTTGTGGCTTTTGATGGATATTTTGACATTGAATCAAACTATGAGTAAAATATTAAATAATTAATCTCCTATGTGTATTTTGATCAATTTTCATTATGATCAAACATCAAATTAAGTTAAATTCTGGTGCCCATGCCCTCTCAGCATCGCGCATATGTAGAAGGCATAAGAATATATAGTAATAAAAAATAACCAAAATGCCCTTACAAGATTCACAAGTATTCAAGTAAAATTTATTTTTCCTGTATTGTTTTCCTACTTAGGCAATTGATTGAGAAGTTTACGAAAAAGAGGAGAAACCTCTGTGTATAGAAAGCATACGATATGATGTCTTAATTTGGTGAGTGTTGAAACAAAAGAAGTCTCTATAGGATATATCTACATGGTGAGAGATGTGTACAATGAGTGTGAAATAGTGTGAGGACAACTAATGATAATATAAGCGAGTTCTTAGTGATAGTAGGCCTACATCAGGGTCAGTGTCGGGCCCATATATCTTATGAGAGACGTGTACAATGAGTGCAAACTAGCGTGAGGACAACAAATGGTGATATAAGCGAGTTCTTAGTGATAATAGGCCTACATCAGGCTCAATGTCGAGCCCATATATCTTTAGTTTGGCTATGGACAAGTTAATTAGGCATTTATATGATGAGACAAATATGTACGATTGAGATGAGAATGTTGGAATGGATAGGTGGCAAGATAATGAATGATAGAAATAGGAATGAATATATCTTAAGGAACTTAGGGGTGGCTCCAATTTGTAATAATATAAGGGAAAGTAGACGGAGGTGGTTTATCCATGTGTAATGTCAACCTAGAAAAATGACAGCTCAGGAGTGTATATTTGGTTTAAGTGGAAAGCTTTAAAAGAGCAAGAAGAAAGCTTAAATGGACATGGATGAAAATAGTGACAAGAGATATGATCACTTATAGTATGACTGAGTATGGCTCTCGATAGAGCCAAATAAAATGAAAAAGTTGTTATTTTTAACCCACGTTTTTAAAATGTGATACCCATCATGTGCTAGTCTGACACAAAAATATGTCCGATCGGTTTGTTTCGATCTGGCACAAAATGTGTCCGATTGGCTTCTTTCAAAAAGTGTAGGTCCGACACAAAATGTGCTGCACTGACTTATGATATTCAAATTATGCCGGTCAAGCACAAAATACGTCGGACGGGCTTATATTGAGAGTGTTGTGTTGATCCAACACAAATGTATGGCTTAGGAGGTAAAGTAGGAAATATACGTTAAAATGAGGGTATTTTGGGGTTTAACAAACCATTTTTTTTTTTGATTGAGGAGTGATGTGAAAAATAATCAGTATTAATAATATGATATCAAAAGTAATTGGAGAGAATACCTAGGAAGTCCAATTTGAGAGGCTATCTATAATTTTCCCCCCAAAACAAATTCAAATACACTGGGGACTCTCAAAAAGCGGAACTTACAGACAAAAAAATATGATATTTATAAAATAATTTTCAATTACAAAATAAAATAACATTTCTGTATGCATTTCCCACTTGGAGGTTAACTAACAAACAAGGACCTGCCAGAAAAGATATAATCAACAAGGGAAAAATAAGAAGTGAGAGGGAGGAATAGTATTTGATCGGTTAAGGACAAAAAGAAAGCACATAAATTTATGTGCGACTTTACTCAACTGAAGGCGACTCATGAGAACAAACGCCTAGACAACCAGCAAGGAATTTTTCAACTTTCTCTCTCTACATCTTTCTCTCTCTAAAAAAGACATTCTTTGTAAAAAGTACATGATATCTCTCTCTGGCACTTTCAACACTCTCTCTCTAAGAAGAAGACATTGGAAACTCTTAACATGTATATGAAGATTCTCTCTCTCTAAGTTTATGGAAACTATACACTTTCTTTCTCTCTCTAGAGTCTAGACAGCTCTTGATGAGCAGCAAAGTCATCGTTATGCGTTTCTCTGTAATGTAAGTAACCCATCAAACTGGAATGACGTTCTCTTTTTTATTCGTTTTACCCTTAAGTAGTTCTCTCTATTGCTTTCTCTCTAGACCACTGTTAGCACAGCAACAAGTTACTGATGATGCTTTTATCCGTAATTTATGTGACCCAACAAAGTTGGAAACGGGAATTACTGTCTCTTTTTTATTGTTTTTGCCTTTTTACTATTCTGTAATTCTGGTTTAGTCAACAATGTCGCTTTACATAAGTTGGTGGTTGGTTGATTTTCGTATATTCTGTTAGGTAACTACGGACGGGAAATCGTGACTTCTTTCACTTTCTCTCTCTTGTTTACTTTTTGCGTGTTGCAATGGTTAACCAGAGACTTGGGAAAGGGGGAATTTGGTTTTACAGATAAAGGCGTTGATTTCAGGAATGTAGTTGATTTCAGGAGAATTTGGTTTTACAGATAAAGGCGTTGATTTCAGGAATGTAGTTGATTTCAGGAATGTAGAATGGTGCTGGTGTATGTTTACCCTGGCCTTGAGAGAGAAGGCACGTTTGTTTGGGTTTAGAGAGAGAAAGTATGCGATGCTTTGGATTTGGAGTCGAGCAATGAAGTCCCCTTGTCTCTCTCTTTCCAAGCAAACGGGGATTCGCCCAATTGTCTCTTTCAGCTATTTTTCTAACTGGTTTGATGCTTGAGTTCGTCAGTTAATGAAGAAGACAGAAGAGGAAATCTTCTAAAATTCTAAAGAAACAGGAAGGTGGGTTATTCATTTATACCTGAATTCATCTTCCATTATTGAAATGACCCATTGATCCATTATTGAAATAAGCCATTGATTCTCTGTCTTTAAGCTATCAAGCAAAGTTTCAATTGGGCTTTCTTCTATATGTTCTGCCCAAAACTTATCATCCATTACTGAAACCTGCCATTGATTAAGGATCATGAGAGGCAAAAATGGAGCTAGTGGTAATTACTTCGTATTGAATACAGGGGCCAAAATTCCAGCTCTTGGGCTTGGAACATGGCAGAGTGGAGGAGATCTCTGTGTAGAAGCTGTTAGGACTGCTTTAAAAGTTGGGTATCGCCATTTTGATTGTGCTCATCTCTATGGCAATGAAACTGAAGTTGGACAAGCTCTTTCTGAGGCTTTCAATGGAGCAATCCCTGGTCTGAAGAGAATGGATGTTTTCTTGACTTCTAAATTTTATTGCACAACTACGGCTCATCGAAGGATCGAGAATTCGGTTAGGGTTTCTTTGAAGAGTTTCGGAACTTCATATTTGGATTTGTACTTGGTTCATTGGCCTGAAAGTTCAGCAATAGGAGATGCAACTGATCCTCCTTCGAAGGCAGGGATCGAGGATAGGCAGTTTTCTCGGAGATTAGAACCAATATGGAAGGCAATGGAAGGTCTTGTAGAAATGGGGCTTGTTCGTGCTATTGGGGTGAGCAATTTTAATGTCAAGCAGATCGAAGATTTGCTCCATTTTGCAAAGATTGTACCTGCGGTCAATCAGGTCCATTACTTGTTTCTCTTTATTTAAATTGTGATTGCTAATGTTTTTTTTTTGTTTGTTTCTTGTGTTTGTGGACCACTGAATTTCCTCTATTGTGCAAAGACTGTCTTTTTTGACCAATCAAGTAAGTTACTTGTTTAAGTTGTTTTCTCTGTTTCAATTGTGGTTGATTTTTATCTTGTTTCTTTCCCAAGTTCACAGAAAGTATTTGGAGGTTAAATTGTTTCTGGTATCTGGACTCAAGTGCTACGCCTTCCTTTCTCTAGATCATAGTCATGCCCACTTCATAAAATACATCTTTTTCATACTAGCTTATGATAGCTAAGTACACCCAATATACCTCCCTTTTTCGTATCCTTTTGCTGCAACACTCTTGATCGCAGCATGTTCTATCAATGCTATCTTAGCTAATGCATCCATAGTCATTGCTTTTTTCTTCACTGGTTTCCATTAGAATTTCCCTTCCTGAGATGATAGTCATGTCAATTTTGTTCGATGTCCTTTAGATACTATCCAATGGCGTGTCATTTTAGGGCGCACTCATTTTCCAATTCTTTGTCTGTGACACCCTTGAGACCACCCAATGTTCTATAATTACTATGTTAGTGAAAGACATCCATGGTCATTGCTTTCTTCTTCTGTTGTTGCCTAAGACAATTTTCGACTGCAGTATTAGTTACGATAAAAATTCAAACTAAAAGCTACCCATATGCAAGGAAAATAGGTTTTACACAATACCTTTTTGCACTACTTGAATGATCGTGAACAAAAGCACATCATACGTTGACTGCTATTTAGTCTGCTTATCTTTCTTGTATGAATGCGCTTGAATATTTTCCAGTTTCTTCTAGATGTTTGTGCGCACCAGAGCATCACCATTACGAAAATCACACCTAAATCAAAAACACTATATGAAGTGATTTTTCATATTATAATACATAACAAGTGCTCCACATTCCTTTTTCTATTTCACAGTCATGCCCACTTTATAAGATATATATTTTTCACACTAGCTTATGGTAGCTAAGTAACACCCAATATACCTCTCTTTTTTTCTAATCCTTTTGCTGCAACACTCTTGATGACAGCATGTTCTATCTATGCTATATCTTAGCTAATGCAGCCATGGTCATTGCTTTTTACTTCTCTGGTTGCCCATTAGAATTTCCCTTCCTGATATCATAGTCATGTCCATTTTGTTTGATATCATCTAGATGCTATCCAATGGCATGTCATTTCAGCGCACACTCATAATACGTCTCTTATTTTCCAATTCTTTGTCTGCAACACCCTTGACCACCCAATGCTCTATAATTACTATGTCAGTGAATGGCAGAAATGGTAATTGCTTTCTTCTTCTAGTTGCTTAAGACAATTTTCGACTGCAGTATTTTGTTACAATAAAAATTCAAACTAAAGCTACCCAAATGCAAGGAAAACAGGTTTTACACAGTACCTTTTTGCACTACTTGATTGATCGTGAACAAAAATCACATCAGTATATTGACTGTTATTTAGTCTGTTTATCTTCCTTGCGTGAATGCACATAGTTATTTTCCGGTTTCTTCTAGATGTTTCTGTGTACCAGATCATCACCATTAGAAAAATCACACCTAAATCAAAAGCACCATATGAGGTTATTTTTCATATTATAATATATAACTAAAACATAAATATAACTTAACCATGAGAAGAAATAAAGCATCTTAATGGAAAATGCACTGCATTGTTACAATGTTAACCCCTTGACTTAGATACAAGGTAGAATGACATCTTTCTGACCAAAGTCACCATTCATTACACTCCGCATTAATTTTGGAACCCTGGTTAAGTCTTAAGCCTTGAAATGACATCAACTAAACCTTTCTTGACTTCACTATGTCTAGAGAATGCTGGACTAAACTGCAATGCACTTTAAAGAGAATACATTGATTCACATAGTCCTTGAAGCTTTACATCGGGCATCCCACCGTTGGTCACTAAGTACCAAAAGAGGCAAGTAGACAACCTTCTTCCTTTCTTGCCTCTGCCTGTTGCCATACACAGAAAATCTGGAGTAAACCTCTCCTTTTATCCCAGTTCTAGGACTTCAACCTATCAAGTTCACTGACATCCACTACATGTGCACAAGTTTTCCACATCAAACTATCTCATATAATATTTCCTACCAACTTCTTTTTTTTTTCTAATTTGATATTTGACAGTGATTTATTTTTAAATGAAGACACTATTTTCCTGGAAGAAAGGTTGGCCTGTTTCTCATAATTGTATATCTTGACTTCTCATCAAATAAGAAATCAGTTTTCATCTATAGAGTAGTTTTTGTGACTTTGTAGTACTAAGCAGAGGAACATTTCAATACCTTGGTTTAATGTAAAATTTATTTTATCTTAAAGTGATGCTACACTTGATTGGTATGTCACGGCACTAGTGCTTAAATTATCAAAATAGTTAAAGATTATTATTTGAGTACTTATAAGCATAAGTTTTGACCAATTTCAGGTAGAATTGCATCCATTTTGGAGACAAGATGATCTGGTCAAGTTTTGCCAATCAAAAGGTATTCATGTCTCTGCTCATACCCCTTTGGGTGTCCCTGATACTAGTGCTAGTGCCTATGACAGTGGATCAGGGGGAGAAGATGAATGTGGAACACCCAGAATAGCATTCAGAAGGTCAAGATCTGTACATGGGCCGATGCTAAAACTATCTGTTGTTGCAAATATTGCCAACCATCATAAAAAGACACCAGAGCAGGCAAGAGTTTTACTTCTTTGTTTCCTTTCACTCTTTATTCCATATTTTGAAGTTTCACGATTTTTTGCTTCCAAAAAAGATAATACTTTTGGATCATCTTATGTTTGAATTTAAACTGCTGTTACCGTTGAGAGCATTTCGAGGAGAATTTCTTGTTGGCTTAGATGGCTTAGATGCATTTTATACAAAATGTTTTACTGAATATTCCATTTTGTTTAAAGATCAGGGAAAGACCTTTTGAATATTCCATTTTCTTTAAAGATATTTGGGCAAAGACCTTGGGTAAGTCTTGGGTGGGATTTGAACCTCGCCCAAGTCTTGTGAAAAGCTTGGCAACTATATGTTTTTCACCCATTTTGTTCACTTGTGAGTTTTGATGCCTGAAGACTAGTAGTTCTGCAAGATGAATCGACTCAAGGCAAGTCCTTAAGTCTTAAAATTGATTTATTTGCACATTTATATGGATTAATATGAAGTATCATTTGGCAGACTTGTTTGTCTATTCGAGACTGCTCTGCATCAAATGTATTTTATTTATCAGTAGTCAACTAAATTTATATCTTATACGTTGATATCAGAAAAATGATGTGTACAGCAATGATGGATGAGAATTGAGATGTACATATTTCCCTCGGCACATGGGTTTGCAACGGTGAAGAAGGCCCTCTGAGATTATCTTTGACAAATTATTATAGGAAATATTGGGAAACGGGTCACCCTAAACTAAATATGTTTGTTTGAGTGGCTTAGCTGTTATGAGTTAGGGGTTCTCATCAACATTGGTTTCATTGAAGGACTTCTGGACAGGAGTCAAACTAGGCATTACGGTTGGATGAGTGCTCTCTTTCAAGCGTACCTTCTCAGAAAATGAGGATGTTGAAGGAAATGTTGACGACTATCCAAGGAAATGTTTATGGCTGAGTTCGTAATACTTTGGCTGAGAATACTCTCATATACTTTTTCTTTTTGCCATGAAACAGAGTAACTTTGTGCTGTTTCTTGTGATTAAGGAAAATACCCTTGACCTGTGAGTGTGGGATAGGCTAGATGCTTTGGAGGTAACTTGGTTCCTGGGGATAGGGGCAGTGGCAGAGGGCTGGTGGGGAGGGAAAGGAGATGGGATTTTGATGTTTGTCATTGAAGGGAATCAAGTGCATGATGCATTGGAACCCTAAAATGAGCTGCTTGTATTATTCCTTAGACGTTGCAGAAATTTTTCTAGCAATGTACGTTTTATTAATTCCTTAACTGTATAGTTGTCAGTGGAACAAGAGGGAATGCTTAAATAGTATTTGCATAAAACATTTTGGCGGCAATTTCAATAAGGAAGAAGGATCTTAAAACTATAAACTCCAATTCTCAAACAAAATTTCCCATGGATCTCCTTACCCCTATGTTCATGTTCTTCTTTCTGGCTAACTCTTGCATGCTAATAAGAAATCCTTGATCCGCATTCTTCTCTACAAGAAGGTAACTGTTTACAGATACAATGTTACATTCTTCTAAGAAATGGGAAAGCTTTCCATGTGGGGTCTTTTTTATCAGTATAGAAAACACTGCAAACTTACATTTTATAAATAGAGATCAGAAGAATGAGCTGTGGTGGTTTCCCTTCTTGGATACTGTCTCTTAATTGATGAGGGTGATTTGAAGCATTTGAGGGTTACTCAGTGCCATTATTGTGTTTGCAATTTCAAAGCGTTGAGTGTGGGGTGGTTTGGTCATTGGCGCATAGCTGATCATTCTTATTCATGGCAGAATTTTTGGGCCCTTGAGTTCTAGCTATTGCCATTTATTGTGGTTTGATTTATGGAAGTTTCAAAGCAGCATGAGTGGAATAAGGATCCTATGATGATGATGATGATGATGATTTTTGGAAGGTTCTAAGCAGCATAAGTGGCCATTTTTGTCTTGAGTAAAAATGATATATAGTAAGTAATGGAGAAGTGTGTACACAGCGCAGAACTATGGTGATGAGTTGGGAATTTATCACATCCAGTGTGGCCATGCATTCTAGTTTTACAGAAGGTTATGGCCTAATAGTCTTCATCTCTTGCTTATTGTGTAATGTGTTAAAATCACACTAATCCAAGTAGAGCAAGATAATTCTAGTCATCTTGGTTTCAGGAAGAGGATTTCTCTTAAAAAAAGAAATGTCTACATATAATCCTAGTCATCATCGTGTCAGGAAGAAGGTTTTTCTCTCTCTCAAAAAAGAAGAAGAAATGTTTACATATCCATTTCCAAACAAGTTAAATTTTATTTGGCTCTCTGGCCTGCTTTCACCTAAGGTTTGTATCTGGTAATGATTTGGTGGAGGGAGCATGATCTTGAAGAGATAGATTGACCATTGTCTGAATTTTTAGAAAGTTGAAATGCATGAAGGATTCTACAGGAATAACAATAAATAGAATGGGTGATAGATTTCTTATGATAAAGTAAACTAGGTTAAGAATAATAGCCACCTTAGAATTAGAAGGTTCGAAAGGCTGAAAAAAAGAGATCGCATAGTTTTCAATTTAAGCTTGTTTTTAAATTAACCAATGGCATTCTGCTGGTGAATTACAAGGACATGTTCTCTGATGATATACGCATTGAGATTTTATAAATTGTTCAGAATTTCACATCTCTTAGGCATGTAGCCTAGACGTGAATCAGATTTTAGAACTTTTACTGTTTTCCCAATCTGAATTTGATGTTTTGAAATATGCATGCCATACACTTTAGATTTGGCTTTCATGAAACATGTCTGGGTAATTCGAAAGAGATCGTCCACAAAAAGAGATAATATAAGGATATGGTCATGGAATGAGGTGGAGTAAGACCCAACATGGCAAAATGAATTACCTTAGACTCTCTCATAATTTAACTTCTAATATTTAATATCCCCTTATTGTTTATCAAAATAGCAGGAATTAATGTCATCCCATTGTCAATAATATATGACCTCTTGTTTCTAATATTTTTAGAAAATTGTTAAAATGCGATGGAGATAGATTAATATATTGTTAGAATGCTTTCTGTAGATTATTTTTCTTTTCTTTGCTAAACTGTATAGTTAAGAAATGCCCATGTAGGGGAAAAAAGAAGGAAAAATATTACCAACGAAGGGGAATACCAGTCAAAAACTTCCCACATTCAAAAATGATTTGTCCTTTTAAAAGGAATTCTAATGACATATCTGGAAGGAAAACAAATCTAAGATAGATGGTAACCTAGGAAGACTACAAGGATAACCTCTCTAGAAAATCCTAGAAATTTAGCAGTCTAAGAAAACTACAACGCACTCTAAATAAGAAAAGACTATATAAAATAAATAAATTTACTATATTTTTTTATAGAAAATGCGGTTTAATTACTGCAAAACTCTAAAGTTTTATTTTTTAAGACAGGGAAAAGTTCTCATACAACTGCATTGTAGTCAATATGACTACAATTGCACCTCAAAAGTAAATGTTTTTTATGACAACTTGTGACTCTGCAAATTCATACTCTATACCTCCAAGATCAAGATCCTGCCAAAAAAAAAACAAAAGGGAATTTGGAGCCCTAAAAATTATCCATCTAGACTGTTATCCCAACATCTAATATAGAACATCCATTTTAGCATCTTGGCTGGACTGCCTTTTTTGACATGTGATGGATTTTTCGGGTGTGCTTGTAGTAGCCTGCTTATGACCGCTATTGTACAGGAACTGAGCCATTTGAAATAAGTCCATTATTGGGTGGAACACATAGAAGTGCTTGCAGAACAACTCATGTCGTTCAAAATGTTGTAAGAATAAAAAGCAATAGAACTGGGTGATCTTAAAGCTAACAGAATGTGTGATAGATTTGCAAATGGATGCTCAAAGCACCAGATCTGAAATTATTTAGACTCCAGTTTATTGCATACTGTGTAGGCTAGAATTACTTGATCCATGTTCCCACTTGACTGGAATTCAAGAAACCATTTAGTGGTCATGGAAACTGTTGACAAAATATTAGGAGAGAAGTTCTCAGGTACTAGGCAGAAACACGGAGCAGACAGAGAGAGAGAGAGAGAGAGAGAGAGAGAGAGAGAGAGAGGAGGTGTGTAGTAGTAGTAGAGTAGAGCACACTACTAAGTTAAGTTTAACGTTACTTTAAGTTAGTAGGTCGGTACGTACGTACGTTTAGTTCGTCGGTACGG